GATGGATGGATGGATGGATGGATGGATGGATGGATGGATGGATGGATGGATGGATGGATGGATGGATGGATGGATGGATGGATGGATGGATGGACATGTCTGCTCAAAATTATCTTGTGGCCACAATGTATGGGCAGGAATTATATATTTTTTAAATCCGATGTCAACAGATGGGCTCCGTACTCCTGAAAAAGGGCAGCTGGTCTAAACAAAGGTCCTCACCATTAAAATACAAGATCTATCTAAGTATAATGTTTTTATAGAAATGAGGACAAGCTTTAATGAGCTGAGTGGTGACAGCATTTTTCTCAGTAAATAATATCAGCTGTAAATAAAAAAATAATAATGTAGATCTGTGTAAATCTGGCGATTTTCTTTTTTACATAACTTTTCAGTAACATCAACATAAAAAAATAACTTGAAATTCTGTCTGGTGCTACTGACTCTCATAATCCAGAGCTTTGTTTCCCATTTCTACATTTACAAACTTTAGGAACCACAAGTAAACCTGCAGCCTGACAGCAAGAGCTGAGAAAGTATAGAACAAGATGTTCAATGTTTGTTTTGCATGCTAATAGTAAAACATCTTTTGTAATATTTTGAAGTTTTGTTTCCTTTGTTATACGATCTGATAAATTTCTGTACTGCAGGCTCATGAAGCATTGACCCCAGAAAGTCGGAGATGCTCTATAAACCAGTATGTTCAGGGAGGCAGGAGACTCAGTGACTGGACTGTTTGGACTGCCCTGGAAACATACCTGCAGGTAAGAAAGATTTACAGTATTTGCACTCATAAAAGGGCAACACCCCTGTGTGTAATCAGTTATCCAACTGAATGTGAGAAAATACATAAAAACAAATGCAACATGGTCACAGTCATGACTTGTTAAACAATTGATATCAGATCTTTCTATACTGTGTTTGTTTATGGTTTATGTAGCTCCAGGAAAGGTTTGACTGGAATCCCTTTAAGAAGGTGTTTGCTGCATACCACAAGATGAGCAACTTTCCCACTGACAACACTGGAAAGATGAATCTGTACGCTGAGACTTTCTCTCAGACTGTGGGCATGGATCTGACTGGATTCTTCAAAGCCTGGGGATGGCCCATTGAGGCAGCTACTGAGGAGAAACTGTCCGGCCTGCCTCCCTGGTTTGATCACCCCATGGTGCAGTATTTATAGAAGTCATATTGCATCTGTGTCTGAGCTTTTAGTGACCTGAGTCTGTCAACAAAGACATTTTTATGTTCTTGTTACTGTGGCAGAAATTAAATGATAGTGTGTGTGTCTTAATCCAAAAGTGCCTTTTATTACTGCTGATATGTTTTGTTTCATGTGGTGTTTGAGACGAACAATTTCATCACGTTTTTGTGGGAAAAATAAATCATGGGAAAAAGACTTCAGCTAAAGAAACATTATTGTTTAGCAGAAACAAATATCTTAAGTACTGCAGAATTTCATTTCTGTAAAGCAGTGGTTCCCAATCTTATCAGACTTGTGTACCCCCTGAGCCAGTTTGTCATACCATTAGTACCCACTCAGTCAAATGTAATGATGATTCTCCAAAATTCCAATGTAAAACTGGTTATTAAATGAAAATAATTTATTTTACTCCCTAGAACGTTTAATTCTCAGGCATTATATTTTTTCAACTCAATTTAAACAGAGATAAATATGTTGCCTAGAAAGTGAATAGGTAATTAAATAAATAAACCAGGTAATGGCAGGTGAAGGAAGCAGTAGCGTCCAAAATACATCAGAAACTCACCCAAATCAGCACATTTTGTGAGATTGTGTTTTATACAGGCTACCATTTTGTTTGGACAAGTCCGTGATTCTGTTTGCATTTTCTGCATTGTGGAAATCATAGGTACCTACATATCCCAGTCCTATTTTATTATTTTTTTACACAACAGTGAAATTTTTCCATGTACCTACCCCCTGTGTTATGCTCACGTACAACTAGGGGTACACATACCCCTGGTTGGGAATCATTGCTGTAAAGTAATTGTTTTAGTTTAAGAAGGAGGGCAGATATTTATTGTTGGATTTCAGAAACTGGTGTTGCCTGAAAGTTTTGCTAATAGAAACAACATTTAATATCATTACTGCTCATATCCTTAAATATCTGGTAACAGGGAAACAATATTTTGTCGCTGCATGTTTTTATCTTGCTAGAAATAATTAAAGACATTCTTATTTGCCATTGATTTTAACTAATCATTTTAAACTGTTTTGTACTGCTTTTAATAATGTTTTTCAAGTCTTTATCATTGTATTTTGGTGTGTGTGTGTGTGTGTGCGTGTGTGTGTGCGTGTGTGTGTGTGTGTGTGTGTGTG